CGTCTTTTTCCTCGCACAAACAACGATACATTTCCTGTTCCCGCGAAGCGAAAGGTTGGCCCAAATTCTCGTTACCACCGTCGTATAAAATTCCCGCCAAACCAATTCGCCTCCCGCGAACTTCTCGAAAATATTTTCTCCCACCTGTTCGCGTGTTACCCGTCACTTTTAACTTCCTTCCTGCCGCGGAGCAGAGCCCAGCAAGGGTCCCATGATCATCTCCCGTCACACAGGTGCGATCCATAAGTCGGGTATAATTTATTTAACCCGACTCCAAAATATTCCTCCACGAACCGCCCGCGCCCCTGCGTCTTCCGCTGCCAGCATTAGCGGTAACCGCACCAGCGGTGCCTCCATTCACCTCTCCTCCTTCCCCTGGAAGCCAAAAATCCCTTCAAATTTGGATCTCCCGCCACCCCCACCCCGTCTCTCTCCCTATATATTCGACGGTCCTCTCTCACATATCCAAATAAATCCCAGCCTTTCTTCTGTACCGCGTGCTTCTATCTTCGCCTTTTCGATCAACCAACCATGCCTGCGATGATGCCCCCGGCCGCTGCCGCTCAAGAAGTAATAGCGGTAGGAGTTGACGAAGGTGAGATGGAGCCGCTGTTGGCGGAGAATCCGGACCGGTTCTGCATGTTTCCCATCACCTACCCGTCAATCTGGGAGTTCTACAAAAAGGCCGTGGCCTCCTTCTGGACGGCGGAGGAGGTGGACTTGTCCCAGGATCTCTCCCACTGGCAGGATCGTCTGTCCGCCGACGAGCACCACTTCATCTCCCATGTCCTCGCCTTTTTTGCCGCCTCCGACGGCATCGTCCTCGAGAACCTGGCGGCCCGGTTCATGCGCGACGTCCAGCTTCCTGAGGCCCGCGCCTTCTACGGCTTCCAGATCGCTATCGAGAACATCCACTCTGAGATGTATTCTCTCCTCCTCGACACCTACATCAAGGACCCCGGCGAGAAGTCTCGCCTCTTCCATGCCATTGACACCGTCCCTCCTGTCGCCCGCAAGGCCGAGTGGGCGCTACGCTGGATCGAATCCTCTGTCTCATTCGCCGAGCGCCTCGTTGCCTTCGCCTGCGTCGAGGGAGTCTTCTTCTCCGGCTCCTTCTGCGCCATCTTCTGGCTCAAGAAGCGAGGCCTCATGCCGGGTCTCACCTTCTCAAACGAGCTCATCTCCCGTGACGAGGGCCTCCACTGCGACTTCGCCTGCCTCCTCTACAGTCTTCTTCGCAACAAGCTCTCCGAGTACCGTGTCCGTGAAATCGTTGCCGATGCCGTTGACATCGAGCGGGAATTCGTCTGCAATGCCCTGCCGGTCGCCCTTGTCGGGATGAATGGCGACCTCATGAGTCAGTATATCGAGTTCGTGGCCGACCGCCTGCTTGGAGCGCTAGGTTACGAAAAGTTGTACGGGGCGGCCAACCCCTTCGACTGGATGGAGCTCATCTCGCTGCAGGGGAAGACAAACTTCTTCGAGAAGAGGGTCGGCGACTACCAGAAGGCCTCGGTGATGTCGAGCTTGAAGGGTAATGGAGCCATCCATGTGTTTAAGCTGGATGAGGATTTTTGAAGGGATTTCTCCGTTCTCCTATGATCTCCTTACCTTTGAATTTTGGTTTTTGATTTAATGCTATTTGTCGCTTGTCTTATCTTTATATGTATAAAGAATGGATATCTTAACAAGGCAACGAGAGTGACTTGTTCTACTACCAACGGGTTGCTCGAGGAAATGCCTATTTTAGTTGGTTCCTTGTGTCTGTAATATGCTCGAGGAAATGCCCCAGCCGTGTATATAGCTAAGCTGCCTTAGCCGTGTAAATTGTGTGCGTTTAGTGCATAATCGATGTCTGAAGAAATACACGAGAGACTTATGCAAATGGCCCCTAATATAAGGGAGATCCTTCCTCTACTGTTCTACATACCTATCCGTGCCCCTTCAATATATAGTTGTCTCATTAATGTTCATTTACAAAAGTTAGTCAATAATTATTAATCGGTTAACAGATGAAGGTTTTAAAGGGAGTTAATAAAATGAAAGCTTGAACATTTATAATCTAACAATCCAACAGAACTCTTATTGATCCATGATAATCATAGGGTTCTTTTATCACTTATGAAAAGGTGAGGAAAAAATGCACGATCATTTCTATGAAAGAGGAAAAAATACAACGTTAAAAATACATAGCAATTTACCTTCTCTGATTATTGCCTCTGGTATTGATATAGATAATTTTGGTCATTAATTTGACATGATGAAATTGATATATTTTTTTTAATCTTTGAGTTTGAAAAAGGATAGAGAACCTAGAGGGATCTATTTTAGGAGTCACAATTCAATGGAAGAAAAATTTTTCTAAAGAAAAAAAAAACGATTTGTATCCCATCTCGATTCATTGCTCGTAAAAAAAAATGGATCAGATGAGTTCAATGAAATCTTTCCAATGGTCATTAGGAAGAAGATGATATACTTATATTCTAGATGGATTTATTTTGTGTGGAGATATGTTTTACCTAGTTAGGATGCATAAAATATTTTGATACTTATATCTAGTGCATATGCATAGAGATGTTTTGCTTCACTAAGGTGTAATAAACTATTTGCTTCATTAAGAGGACAATTTAGCTATGTAAAATGCTTTCATCATATATTTTTTGGATGCTTTTATTTATCCTAGACAACTATATCACATGTTTTGGTCGTGATAGATATGATATGAGATGATATGTTCGCTGTTATGTTTTATGCACAAGTATTCTTTTTATAAACTTATGTTATTAATTTAATCACTAGTGAATGTGTAATACAATATAAATGAGTCTTGTCCTTATTGAGTTGGGTTCAATTTCGAAGAGGATGTTTTTTTTTCCCCTTTTATGCTCAACTAAAGGCAAGCATTTTTATCTAATTTTAGTGACATTGAGCACTCCCATGTGAGACACACTTAGTTGTAGATCACTGGAGTCAAATGAGTTCAACCTAATTGTGTTTTATTTCAAGGAGACTATTAATTCAAATTTAAGGGAGGCATTCTTAGTATCTTTTACTTTTAATATCAATCGAGCAACAATAGACTTAGTCGAGTCAGATGTATCTAATTTTGATCGTCATAGGTAAAAAAATAATCATTTTAAGTATGCAATCGAATTAAAAATATGATTATAAAAAAGAATATGATCATTTTGAGGATACAATCGACTTAAGGTGTAATGATTATTGATTTGAATGATAAAATTAAAATTAAAATTAAAATTTGAAATATTGATTTAAATGATTCTTCGGTTTGGTAGTCCCAATTAAAATTTTTCGATCCCTAATTGCTATGAACTTATCCTTTGGTTTCGATTTTGTTTTTATTAAATTTGGAATCCTACAATCGGTTGATCTGTTTTCTCTTGTTCTAAATTTTGATTCTCTCCCCCATCCCTTAGATCGGGTCTGCTAGTCAATTCTCACTAATAAAAAAAGTTCTTTTAATTCGTATTAGATGAGATGTGAAATGCTATATTTATGAGATGTGTTTTATCATGTATAATTGATTGATTAATTAGTTAAGTTTAAAATAGGATAATTGATATAGATGTTTGAACGAAATAGTGTTATGCATATCTTGAAACATGTTACTTTCTTGATATGCTAAATTTCCTTACGATTCTGGGGCAATTCAGATTTAGTGGTGACAATATCATGTTTATATTTATGAATTTACTTAATATGTGTAATTATTTATTTTTTTTATTTTGATAAATTATAAATATTTATATTTATTGATTGACATTTGACTATGTATGTGGGTTATTTAGACACATGAATAATTATATCATGCATAAAAAAAATTACATGATTATTTTTCATGATGGATACACGCTTAATGATATAATTATATTGTTGAATCTTAGATTTTGATGATTAAATTAATTGATAATGTTTATGATCTGATTTGTGTTTTGAGTGACGTAGGAAGTTTCAACCGAGGAGAGACAATTAAAGCAGGAAGAATCATGTTGGGCCGGAGTGGAACATGTCAGAAGATTAGACGTCAAGCTGGAGGATCGATCGACGAATCGGTAGAAGACTTCGAGCTATAGGTTCGGGTATCGGGCCAAGAAGAGCAGAAATTGCGTCAAAGAAATCGGAGTTGCGGAGGTCAATTGGTCGATTGGGCAATAAGCCACAAAAGAAGACGATGCACTGAAGAATCAGACGAGGTATCGATGAAGCAATGACATGTCAAACAATATTTAATTTAGCTTTGTAATAATTGTCTAGATCAAAATAGGTTTTAAATGTAATTGAGTTAGAATTAAGTTAACTCAATTAGAGGTTAATTGGGCTAAAGTTTGGATTATGTTGGCCAAGTGAAAGGCTCAAATAATGACATAACAGGTGGAATCATTAGTAGCATAATTTCTGAGACTGTGTCGGTGGTGGTATCGCCCAGTGGTAGGGTGTTAGGCGGTGGTACAGTCAGACTAGGTGGTGGTATCGCTTAGTATCAGTGTTGTAGGCGATGGTACCGCCCAGCACTAACAGTGGTACCGATAGTACCCGAAAAACTCAGGATAAGATTAGTTTTTGCTCTAAGTTTGAATCTATTTGAAGCCTATAAATATCCCTCTCATCCTTGGTTAAGAAATACAAGCACAGAGAACTTAAAAGTGGGAAAACACTATAGCAATCACTTGAGAGATCCCCTCATCTAGTTCTAAAGTTTATAAGTATATTCAGGGAAGAGTGAATGCTTGTAAAATGTTATCTCCTAGACCCATGAAAAGGAGAAGACGGGTGTAAAAGGGTAGCTGATCTTCACCCGTTGAAAGAATATCGTTAGTGGATGCCGATGGCCTCGACGGAAGGAGAATTAGGAGTGGATGTAGGTCACAACGATCGAATTACTATAAAACTCGGTTTGCTTTTCTATTTATGTAATTTACCTTTACTGCAAACTGTCTTACTTGCTTTACTTTTTCATTACACTCTTCCGTACGCTTTCAAGTCAAACACATTTTTGATATGATTTTTATCGAAACGAAGATTTTTTTGAACCAATGTCATTTTTATCCGTTGCACTAATTCAACCCCCCTCCCCCTTTCTTAGTACCGACTAAATCCTAATATATATAATATATTAAGATGATATTACTAAAGGCATAAAGGACTATTATCTTAACATCATCCAAAGGGATATGTTTTTAGCTTGAAGAACACAACATTTATAATGCAGGTTCTCGAAAGATGTTCAAACTGATAATAATATGATGATTGGTCAGCTAAAGAAAAAATAAAAAATAAAAAGTATATTAGTGTCAAAATGGAGTTTAACTCTAACTCCTATCCATAGGTAATTATTTATTGCTCTTATATAGAGTTATAAAAATAATATATCTTCATAAAACACTCTACAGACATCCTTGGTATGACTGTCTTATACAAATGATTGTATATGACCGTGACTTAGACTAAGGCAATCACTAAAAATTATCATGAATAATTAAGATTTAGCATATGACTAATAACACGTAATACCATAATATAGATATCAATATTGTGTGTGATAGTTGAAATCTAGTTCGAAGAAATGTAGTTCTAAGACTTGGCCTATTCAATTTCCTCCTATAAAAAATATCACACTTAGTAAAGTTTAAGTCTATAAAGACACTTCACCGAGTAACTTAATATTTTTTATTTATTTAAAATTTTAAGTTTTGTGGGAGATTATTATATATTTTATTTAAAATATAAAATCTCAAAAAAAATTATTTATCATTTATTTATTTCCTCTTAATTGTTTACTATTGTGGGTTACTTTACTGATATTTATTGGTTATGATTAGTTATAGTGGTTATGATTATTATTACCCCTAGTTTCTTCCGATGGAGAATTTAACGAAAAATCTTCTCTTCTCACTCGGAAAATCTTATATGATTTTCACAAGATTTTGGATAAAAACTTAATAATAACATTAAATTTGATTTATCTTATTAATTATTAAATCGGATTTAATGTTATTGTAGAGTTCTTACCCAATAATATTGCCGTTGATAGATGGCCAGCCCTCGTCAGGAGACAACCTTTTTAATTGGGAAGGTGGTTGTTGAACTTGTTGAGGAGGAGGGGACCTATAACCTGGTCAATCTTTGCTTGCCGTTTGACTCTGCTCTGGTCAACCATCCGGACCAACTGGAAGATGATCAATCACTAACTCAAACAATCTAATTCATTATCCGAACCGATCGACGATATGGTTTCTGGTTTTTCTTTTGGTTCAATCAGTCAGTCCAGTCCAGTCCAGTCCAGGTTTTATAACTACGATGAGAAAAAGGAACAGAATTGTTCTCTTTCACGTTAACCAGTTGTCATCGTCTTCTTGCTTTCTGCAGTAACACAATGTGGATATTGTAGAATGCGAATTAGTTTGGAAGAAGATTATGGAGTACACGCACTTGCTTCAGACACGGATAGGATAGGAACAACTCGTTTATCCCATGCTTCATGTGAATCTTTGGGCATGAAAAGCATTGCTTCTGTCTCCTATGTCGTGAAGAAACTGGCGATATCTCTCTCTGTCACTGCGGTCAACGTGTATCGGCGGAAGGCTGCTGCGACAGTAGAACAGAAAGGTCATCGTTCTCCTTTGGTTTGCGCTCGTCACCTCTTCCGAATGGTCAAACAGAAAGGTCAACAAGCAGATTTTAAAGACCCGGAAGACAAAACAACTGATGGATGCATGCTGACTTGTCCCGGTAAAATGAAGATGCATGCAACGATGATCGGTTCAACCCCAGCGGTGAAGACTTTTCTGCACTCCAAGTGGAACGATCGGGGGAGAGGAGAGTGCTGAGAGCCACTCGATCATTGGTTCTTCGAGACCCACTCAAACACGTCAACGTGTTCCACCTACTCCCATGCGTTCCATGCGATGGTCGTCGACTCCTCCTTAAAAGAAGGCCGAGCTCGCGGCGTCAGCGTACTGCTTCATTCAATCCTCGTCGCCTCTGCCTGCTGTCGAGAGGGAGTCGGATGGGTCCTCTGGTGCTGGCGTCTCAGTTGGCCGCCGGCCTGGGCGTGCTGGCCGGTGCGGCGATCGTGAAGTCGGCGATGGAGAGTGGCCCGATGGCCGGCGGGTTGCCACGGTGCGCGACGTGCAACGGGACGGGCCGCGTCGCGTGCCTGTGCTCCAGGTGGTCCGACGGGGACGTCGGGTGCCGATCCTGCGTCGGCTCCGGCATGATGCTGTGCCGGAGCTGCGGTGGGTCGGGGTCCGGCCGGCCGCTCCCGATTCAAGTTCCGATGCGGTCCACCCGCTCTCCATGACATGAGAGATGAGCACCATGTGTTTGTATATATGACCTGAATTATTGATGATGGTGACTCGGTGCCTATAATTTTGTATTTTGTATTTTGTATTTTTTTTTCCATTTCACACATCTTTTTTATTTCTCTCTATGTGACTGATACATTCAACAATATAATTTAATGGGAAAAATATGCTAAACTTATGAGTAAGATATGCTCTTTTCTTTAAATCTGAGAATACTTATTCCTGGAGATGTTATGTTGGTAGAATAAGTATCTCTGTAAGCCGGGCTTAATCTATGGATCTAATGCTAGAAATTACTGGTAAATTGACTCAAACATTACCTTTTCTTACCATTTTTCCCGAAAATGAATTCTTTAATTTCATGTCTTCCTATGAGTGCTTCTAAAGTTTCCTTTCTTCCTATTTCTGATATAGCTCCCATAGTTAAAGTGAGTCTATCGTTGCTCGGTAACTTGTTTACGCTATTATGACAGAAGAGCAAACAAAGTCATGGCGATCAGCAGCAAGAAGAAAAGATATCACATCACTATTTTAAGGTTTTACTCGTATATTGTTTCATCAGAAAAAACTTGTTATATGCATTATTTTCTCGTTTATATTAAGGTTTTCGAGTGGGTTCTGAGTAGTTCAAAGAAAGTTCATCGAGGATGATGTTTGGATCTTTGGTAGAGGATTTAGAGCAGATCTTAGGACGATAGATAAACACAAAAAGAGTAATGCAAAGCAGATCTATGATCATTTCATTACTGCTTTCCCAGGCTTTAAATTGTTCTTAGACATTCTGCTTTCTTAATCACACCATTTGATTGATTCAGAAATAGGCAAATTCGATTTGGTCTCGGTGCTTCTGGAATATCTACGCGGCAAATTCTCTCTCAAGATATTGAAATGTAATGTAAGTTTTTCCAAGTAGGATACTAATAATAATAATAATTTTTTTTTTTTATAACAAATAAGCCGGAAATAAGTAGTGAAGATATGTGGATATTTTATTCTGGTTGTAGATGCAGATTTTGATGTTTGAGAGAAGAATGCAATATCTGATTTCATAGATCCCCATACATAATAAGCTCTCTGGTCCATTGCATCTCAAATCTTTTCCTGCTCTCACATTTGTTAGTGGCCTTAGTTGATACATCTTCCTCTTGTGCAAGCCTTGCGGATCTTATCCTCTATCATCTAAGAAATGTGACCAACAATATCTTCTCTGCATATTTTTATTGGAAGTCATTGTCATTTCGGAAGATATTTTCAGAATTTGATATAATTAAAATATTTTTTTTCTTTTAATATATGCATGATTCATCAAAATTCTCTCAAACCCATCCCACCTTTCCATGGCCTTAGAGCCAATGATATTATTATTTTATGATGGTTCATTTACTAATTACTCCCCTCTTGTGGTTATCGATTTTGTTTTCATGAATTTTATGTATGCTATCCTCTTTGTTGGATAAAATACTCACTCTACCTTTGACTCTCTACATACATACTGAATACTATACAATATGAGACGATCTACAAGAAGTGAAACAACAAAAGTATTATATATATTTTTTTTTCTTTTATCAAATTTGATGCACTTGAGATGATTTTAATATTTAACCACAACACTTTGATTCTTATGTAAAAATGTACAATAATATTGCATTACCAATCATCCCTCGAGCTTAAACTTCTCTCAGCGCTACATCAGGTTGGATTGGAGAGCTCTTGGCATTTAAGATAGCCATTGAATCCAACTGCTATTGGTTTTCTTAATGATTTTTCTTTTGTTATTCCTACTCATTCAAATTGTTTATGGCATCAAAATAAAGAAAATAGATGTCCATTATCATCACACTGGTCTTTCTCATCAGCTTTTGTTTATTTATTTGTTCTTATGTGGCCACTGATTCTTTGCTTGGATTTTGTGTTGTGCATGCATAACGTGTAAAATAAATAACCCCAAGTCAAGGTTGCATATTGATAACAACCTTGAGGATTTTTCCAAATATAGAGGAAATATCTCTATTATATTGAAGGAAATCCTTTAATTTGTTAAGGGAAATCTTACATCCTAACTTGTATAAATAAGAGAAAGACCGAGCGAAATCCTTCATCGTATAAATAGAAGAGGGACATGTGAATACAATAAAGCTTCTTCAATAAAACTTATTCAATAAATTTTTTTTAATAATTCTTCTTTATCTTCTATTCTTTTCAACACATATGATTAATCTTCTCAAGGTTTACCAATTATGTGGCTTAAGCTTTCACTTACACATCATTTTATCAACCTGAATCTTCTTTTCAACTTGGTAAAATGATATCAGTGCCTAGTCATCGATCTATCTGCCACTGATTTAATAAGTTGTAAAGATTGTAGGAGACACTGATGAAGTATAAAAATTCTTCCTGGTTTTCTCTTGGAGCAATAAAAGGTCCTCATTGGAACCCTAAAACATGATGCCAACATCTACAACAAATTTCTGTGTATTGAAGATTAGCTAACAAAATAGAATATGTTGAATGCACCAAAGGTTGGATTATTGTATTCATAACCATGCAGCATTTCTTTGAGCTCATAAACTCCTGTGGTCCTAAAAGAGATGAGATAAAAACAATCGATCTGAGGCAACTGGTTTATGTTTGTCTGCCCACACAAAAAAAAAGGAGAACAACGTAGGTACTTTGGTCAATCTTCTTAATCACACTTCTGAAGGTGTCAATTATTATGCAAAGTGCTTGAATAATTAATGGCAATTTTTGTTTGGCTTAACAAAATGTATTCCTGCATGTCTTTTATTTTTTCTTTTTGGGGATTGCAAATATTTTTGGATTTCTAAACTGTTTTCCACAAGAAATTGAAGCATGGAAAAAGTTCAATATAAAGGAAAAGTACCTACAGATTGCAACTCGATTATTTTATAAATATCTCATACGTTTTTAAGCTTTTATGGGGATATAATGTGAGAAAATACTAAGATTTCTCTAGTAAATTTAGAAAGGATGATAAACTTGTTTGAGGTTTATGTGAGGAAGCGTAAAAAAAGATATATGATTAAGTTTAGGTTAACTTAGGGAATTTATTTATGGTTTAATCTCACAGGATGAAGAAGAATCTAAGTTTTGTTTTCTCTATGAACACAAGTAAATAGTGTTGAACCACATAAATTTTATCTCGAGTATTGTGGGTATATGTTTTATTATTGATTCTTTGGATTGTTCTTTTAGTATTAATTGCCGAGGTAGATGTCATCAATCGTCAATGACCATTGTAAGCTAAACAAAGTTTTTGTTCTAGTTGTAATTCGGTAGCACCCTAATCTGCCATATATTTGCCTTCTTCTACTGGAAACGCTTTGTTTTATGTGGCTTTTATGAATAATATTGTCTCGTTTCTGCTGGAACTTTAAGACCACTTTTTGTTCTCTTTTAAACCAAAATATAATATTAATCTGCGATAACTGTTCATGGAATTGATGCCCGAAAGATGGCAGTAGAATTTCTCTTATTAGTCAACATGTTTTCTTGTGAGAAAGTGGATTCATTCTGAAACATCCGAGGCTCAACTTGTTCTTTCTTGGCCACAGGCAACGAAACGATGTGAAGCAACATGTGAACTGTCCATTGCTACTTATAATAATACATCAGCAGAAAGATGAATCTGTTTTGAGGTTACATTCAAGCATTCAATATTGCACCGCTATTTTGAGACAGCTCCGACACTGATTCACTTGGGGGTGAAAGCCTGCAATGCAAAGTGAAAGATCAGAGAGATACGTGCATGGATTTGCTGGACAGGAGGAAGACGAAGAGAGTCCACTACTTACAGCGAACACTGTTGCATGGCCAGGATCGGCGAGGTGGGCGAAGAGGTTGTCGATGGGACCCGTGCCGGTGTATATGGCTTGGAACCACGCCCCCATCACCGCCAGCATCGCGAGTCTCCCGTTCTTGATCTCCTTGGTCCTTAGCTCCTTGACCTTCTCCGGCGAGCCACTGCCCCAGCCGAGGGGGTCGAACCAGAAGCCGCCGGGGTAGCCGACGTCGGTGCCGGTGAGCTTGTTATTGGGGAAGATGGGGTCGGTGTTGACGCACCCGGGCTTGATGATGTCCGCCCACCGCCTCCCCTCGGCCCATCCGATCAAGATGAGCTCGATGACGAAGAGGGTGGTGGTGTCGGTGAAGTACTCCAGCTGGCCGGCGGTGTACCATGAAGGGGTGTTGAGGATGCCGATCTTTGTGAGGAATTCCGGGATGAAGATCCCGGCGGCTCCCAGCATCGCCCACCGGCAGTGGACGATCTCCGCCTGCTGGTTCCACCTCAGGCTCTCAGGGTCGGATCCAAGGCCCAGGGGATCAAAGCCGAAGTCTCCCGGGAGGCTGCATTCGTCAGCAAGGAACAAGCGGAATCAAGATTAACTCCATGTGAGTGGAGAGATGACGAGGAGAAAGGGAGCGACGACTTCACCTGCCGTCCAGCCATGGCGGAGGGGTGCTGCCTGGGAACCAAAGCGGTCTCTCAGGCACAGCTGCAGCGGACACCGAGAAGGCCCGGCGAGCAGTTTTTGTCGCCCACTTTCCCTGCCTCACCTTCCTTCCTCCACCAAGGAACGATGCCTTGGTCGCGGCAAGAGCAGCTCCATTCTTCTGAGAACTGAAGCAAATCCATTGGAAGCTTAGAAGGACATCAACCAGAAAGAGATAGGAATCCCAACAAGCAATGACATGAGAACAGAAAGGAAGGTCAGCAGCGGATCCTCAGTTCAACCATGGCAACAACATATACTTGCGTTGCTCGAGGACAAGTGTATAGTTACAGAGTATAAGATCTTGCCTGGCGACTGCTGCAACTGCAGAGGAGGAAGCACAGACGGAAGCCATGGAGGAAGCTCTCTCCGATCTCTGGTTCTGGTAATAGCGAGAGGAGAACGGGAGGCACCCGTTTAATGCACGGAATGGGCTTATCTTGGAGAGATAGGATGGCGGCTTCCTGAGGCTCTTATCTCGCGACATGTGGAAGAGGGAATCCAAGTCTTGGCTCCAAAATCATCATCACGGTTGACATGGATACGCCATTGCGCGTCAGCCACCCAATTATTAGGCTTTCTGCTGTCCAAAAGATCTGGAAATTTGATTGGAGTAAGAAAGAAGAAGAAGAAGAAGAAACGGAGGAGGACCTCAAAAATGAGAGAGGGCTTGGCCCCATCAATGAATCAATCAGACCTCAATCGGGATCATCAACTGCCAATGGATTTCCTTGCAACACCATTTCACTCGATCTAACCTGACCTAATCCGACTCATTAACACCTCTGTTGGTAGCTCTTGTTGCATAATTAATTAATTAATTAATTAATTAATTAATAGGATATAAATAAGGTCTTTAGTTGATGATACATGTCAGATTTGAGTTGAGACAAGAGCAGTGTCGAGTGGGTTCTTAGTGGTCCACAAGAGATCGGCTTGGGTTTCCATCGTAATCGAAGTAGATACGTGGGCACGATCTCAGTGGCCCAAATAACTACTGCAGAACTCTAAAACACTGCAACATTCATCGGGCTGTAAAGGTCGACAAATCTCACTTTATCAAGACTAGAGGTTTCTGAGTCATTTATCCATGTCACGGATTGATAGAGTGAGTTGACAGTCTCCCTTTGTGGCTCATACTTACCGCATATAATTGGAAAATAAATTAGAAGACCATGCTCACATAGCACGACGACAGAAAGCAAATCCGACAATCTAAAAGCTGCTACCAGCCCTCTGAGACGGCTCTCAGGTCTCGATTGACCGTCTAGCGAGCCAGCTAAGAAAGCTTAATAAATCATCGCAAATCAATCAGCAGTATAAAATTCGTAAACATTTTCCAGATAACAGCAAATGGATTATAAGCCACATTATATTCCATGCAATAATTAATAGTCCTGGAAAGCGCCTCTGCAAGAAAGGTAACACTAACTTTGTTCAGCCTTTTAACTGCAACACGGCCATCTCTTGTACCCAGCGGTCTCTGCGATGTGACGTTCAGAATAGCCCAACAAGGTAAAACTAAATTAATGAACCAACAGAGTAGTCCAATGGTCCATTAAAATAGATCTATGAATCTAAGAGAAGAGAATGATATACTTCTCTTTGCATATTGATATTTCAGATCCGACGTTGAAGCGCTTGTAGATTAGATAAGGCTTATTTTTCTGAACAATAATAAAAGGTACGTATCGTAGTATTGTTAGATCTAATGTATTTGATTTCAATCTTAACATAAAAGTTTTTCTGCATTACAAACAGTATGATTATATGCTAACAATTGGTATCAGAGCCTCGGTTCTTGAGATCAAATATATTAGATCTATTATTTTTATTTATGATGCTTGAATGATCCATATTTCATCGATTATTTTGTTGTTTGCTTGCTGGCATTGTTAGATTTGTTGTAAATGCAATCTTCAATAATCGCGAAGTAGCAATGGTCACCGCCAACCTTGCTGTGTACAACCAACGAATCTACTGTGTTGGGCAACATGCGCACCGCAATGGTTGCGCTGGGCAGCGTGCGCACTACAGCACAACAAGCGACGATCGCACACGGCCAGCACCACGCCCATGCGGCGATCGCACGAGGGCATGCATCCATGTGACGGCCACACGCGAGTAAGCCGCATCCAGGCGACGATCGCTTATGTGTAGAAGTCGCGACTAAACGACATCCGCGCATAGGCAGGAGCAACTCACCGGCAGCGATCACGCACGGCTAGGTCGTGCCAAGGCAACTGCCACGCGTGGCAAGAACCACCGCAGCAGTCGTATGCTAGCAGAGGCAACCCTATGGCCGCAGCGACGTGGCAACGCTGTGCATGCAAAGGTGACGACGCTGCATATCATATTTTTGGGCAAAATCACAATTTTGCCTTAAGGTTTCTCTTTGGTCAAATTATAACTTTACCCTTATTTATTTTATTAATATTCTTTAATTCTTTTGATAGTTCTGTCCTTTACGAATCTAGGTTACATCCTTTCAATTATTTATAATTTTACCCTTATAAATTTAAGAATTCTAATTTATATTCTTAATTATAAAATTGATAAATATGATTTATTATAATTATGATTGAATTTAACCATGATTATATTTTGATTATTTGATTGGATTTAATTTTTGATTAAAAAACTATAAATTAGATTTATTTTTATAGTTTTCTCATATAAATTATTGATTATATTTTAACATGTGGTAAATAAAATCCAATTATCATTTTTGGATATTCATTTGATTATTCACATGTATATATTTTTTAAAATTATGAAATAATATTTATCTTTCACATAAATGTATGATTTATATGTTATCATAATTATCATATTTTTTTTACTAATTAATGTTTAATAATTATTATTGTTGTTATTTATAATTTATGAATAACTATTTATGAATATTATGAATATTATTTATAATTTATCTTTATAAGTTTTATCTATTGATAGTTGTCAAATTAGCTTAGGATGATAGACTTATGAGATGTGAATTACAATAAAGGTCTTATCATTTATAGGATATTTTATATTATATTTTATATTTTTGTATTGGTCCACCAAAGTGACTTGGACTAATAATTTATAAAATACATTATGAAATTAGTCCTAAATGACATTAAATAAAATAATATTTATAATGGCAACATGAATCAAGATAAAAAAAAATTTAGTGAATATTATTTGTAATTTATCTTCCTATGTTTTATATGACCGGTAGCTACCAAAGTAGCCTGGGATAATAGGCTATGTGATATGAATTATAATAAAGTTCTTGTCATTTATGGGATATTTTAGATTATATTTTATCTTTTTGTATTGGTCCTACAACCACCAAAGTGACTTGAACCAATAATCTATAAAATACATTATGAAATTAATCCTAAATGATATTAAATAAAATAATATTCACGATGGCACATATAATTAGGAAATTAAGATAATCTCAAAGGAGAATATATTTCAAATAGTTGTGTGATGAGGTAGGATGATACTGTTTTAGATATCCTTGCAGTTTATGGTTGTATACCCAAATGTAACAATACTATTTCACAAGAATGGTATCAATCCTCCATAAATGATCTTGAGTGAATACTAGATATGTCAATATTTTATCTAAAGGTGAAATATAGATGATATCAATAGTTCATCATATTTTAGAAATACAAAGCATTAATGTTATATTATTACAGTGGTATTTCCTTCATTATATTTTTATAATTATCTTTATATTTTTTTAAAATAAATGTCTTGAGCATATACAAGTTGTATTGAGTGAGTGAGACCTTGGCCAGATTAAATGAATAGAACATAAACTTAATTACTGAAAGTTTTGTGGAATAAATAATTGAGATGATTGATTTGGAAAGGTACGAAAGACTCAATTTTATGATATTTAAACTTATGATAGTATTTGAGGAATTCAAAATTATATCCTCAATATAAATGATAAAATTGTAAGGTCAAGACTCATAATATTTTGAGTACTACTTAGAGAGTAGGTAACACTAAAATAAGAATGAAGTATAAGTCACGTGAGTTTATAATTACTATATAAACTCATAAAAAAAATCTTTACAGTAGAGTGTTGCTTTAGTAACAAATCAAATGTAAAAAAAAAGGTATAGATATAATCTTTATATAGTTCAAATCAAATGTTATAGAAATTATTTTCTAATACTTAATGGATTAATTTGATGCTTCAATATATGTTACCAATTATAGATATTTATTAAAAAAATATATAGGGGGATAAAACTAAAAGAGAATGAGATATTCATCATTATAGGGAATCATCTTAAAGTGAAAGTAATATTAGTTTGTATTTATCGTCTACATCTAAAGATGATTCATTTAATAGATCTTGAAGATCCATATTGTATTCTTATAATTTTGAGAATTTGGGTTCTACCTAGAATTATTAGAATATTATTTTTCTTTTGGTGGTTGTAAATTTACTATGATTCAATAAAAACTAACCTTTGAATTTTATATAATATTCTATACATAATTAATATAAATATTAAGTTTATAATGATCCTATAATTAAAAATTAAAATAAAATATAGTTTTATAAACTCCTTGAGATTATGCTTATATTTGTAAGTCACTCTATGTTTTCGTCTCATTAAGGAGAGATATTTTATCACCATATAAATAACCTGTTAAGATATGATTATATATATCTAATTCATGTAAAGTCTAGACCGTTCACACTATATAAATGAACTCGAGAGATAATTAGATAGAAAAGTCAAGATCATCATATCTGACAAGGGTGATAAATTTTATGATATTTATGATGAACCCAATTATAATTCTAATTCTTTTGCTAGATTCTTGAAAAAATAAGGTATATGTGTTTAATATGATTTACCAAATGTGTTATGACAGAATATGATTGCTGAAAGATATAATTGTACCTTTATAGATATAGTTATCAACGTGAGAAGAAGCTCCAAGAACAACTGTGTATTTCTTGAATTGTATTCTTAGTAACTAAATTATATGACTTCTTTTAAGATATGAAATGTTAGGAAACTTAATTTAAGATATTTACATATTTAATATTTTCCTATAGAGATAAAGATCTTCAACTCACATAAAAAAATATGTATTTAATAACTATTTCTAAATATTTTATTATCTATTCAGAAAAGTTTAAAAGGATACTCTAATTATAATACGAGGATAATTAAATTTGATAATATAAGATTCCTATAAAATAACGAATCAAAGGAAGTGAAAATTTAGAAATTCAATTTTGATATAGAGGATATACAAGTTGATACTCCTTTATTATTCGAGAGATGGTTGTTACTCAAATCATTAAATGTTTTGATAAAAGTGAATAATAAAATAATATTACTAAACTCTCGCACTATATTGATATTGCTGTTAATGGTTTTGTAGAATAACCATAATTGACAATCTTGGGAGTATCTCAAAAGGAAATGAATCCTATCATTTATGTTTATTATGTAGCATATCTATAAGAAT